GCTGAGATCTTTTCATTTGGCAGTTTCATCTTTAATGCAATGGATGTAGGATTATGTGCAGATCTTTTCAACGGGCTTTCCATACTGGTGCTTAGGGCAGAGGATTTGGACATAAGCAGGCTGCTGGCTATTTCTTCTGGACAATTTAAATTGATTCATACAAGTCCTTTGTGCCCCAGGGAACGGGCAGAACAAATCCAAGAGAGACCGCTATCGCTTCACTGGCAGGGAGAATTGTACAAAAAGGAGGAGGGAGTCCTGGGAAGGAGAAGAACTCTAAATACTGTAAAATTGGAGCTTGGTGCAGTCTGGCCAAACATGGTTAGCTCTCAATAGTAGATTTCAGCTCAGAACTGCAGTCACTAGGGAACTGATTTTGGTCTCCTTGAGTGAAAAGATTCGTGTATATGAGACAATGTTCATCCTATATGTTCCCACAAAACCAGAGTGAATCAAATCTTTGGAGCATATTCCAAAAGGGGGAAAATGACTTCTCTGAAACCTTAAATCACCCCTAGAGTTACTGTATCAGAACATGGCAGTGAAGGTTAACTAAAACTTAGTTTGAGGCAGGTAAAGCAGCTTGGAGACACTAAGTCACAAGTGGCTCCGAGAACGATGAAATGCTGCTCTATTCCGACTGTAGGCTTGGATGAGGTTTTCAGAACAGGTGCCCCCCACTTTTTCATCGCCACATGATGTTGTCATCTGTAAAATTAATGCTGGGGATTGCACGACCAAGTGACAGGGCCATTACAAAATAATTTCTCATATTGTCCTTTAAGGAAGTTTGAGGTTTTGTGTTAGGACATACACATAAATATCCTAGGTCAGATTCCTTTAAATGAAGTATCATCAGAGAGACCCTGCTTGTCAAGCCCTGCCTGTCTTCTGTCTCCTGGGATAGGCGGGTACCCGACAAACCAGAATGGAGCCCTTTCCCAATCCCTTCTGTCCTGTGAGAGAGAATTCTGCATGGACCTCACTGTTAACCTCAACATGGCACTGCCACGGAAGATTCCTTTTTGATAGACACAATTGATTTGGTGAGTCCCTCTCCAGGGTACAAAAGAAAGCATAACTTTATTGAAAACAAATAGACATCTTATTGCCAAGTTGTCTTGCTGGTCTGACTTGCTCTGCCCCAGAACATATGCAAACCACCCATCTGTCTCCTGGGTACTAACATTCAGTTTGCTAAAGTTCACAGTAATTATGGGAATCCATGCTGGTACCTGGCACATTAGTTGGACATGCAGAGGTGACAGATAGGACCAGTTCTGGAGAGATGAGTGGGCAGGCCCACTGAGCTACAGGGTTTCTGCCCTAAAGAAACCAAAGGAGCTGTGCAATGATTCATTGTTTTGTAAATGGAGGGGATTCAAACAAACAGAAATAGATAAGGCCAGATTATCAACCATCACTCTCAGTCAACTGCAAACACAGTCAAGCCAGTGAAGAGACAGCTTCAGCAGCCATTCCAACTGCTTTCTGGAGGACTGACTACTGTTCCTCTGAACCTTACAGCCCTCCAGAAAGGCTGCCTGAGAATTCACGAACAAACCTGATGTGTTGAGCCAAAATATCCCAGTGAGAACTCCCAAGATTCAAACTGTGGAATATTCCCCAACTGACGCTTAAAGATAAAGCGATTAGAGCTTTTCAGTGCAAGGTAGAAGGCCATGATACACCACAGAAGCACGTTCATATTCGTCCAAATAACACACGGTTTGCTCACATGCAAGCTCCTTGGAATAGTGTTCTTAAAAGACCCTCAAAAATGTCCATGGGCAGTAGAATATTTAAATGATTTGTGATACTGCCCCCAAACATACTATGCAGTGATAAGAATAGGCAGTCTACAGCTGCCTGTAAAGAGATGGGTTGATCTTGCGAATTGTTGGCCAACAGAGGCCTCTAGATACAGCCGACTATGTTGTCAATGCTGTAACACTTCAGTTCATAAACCAGTAAAAGAGGCTGTGGCATGCTCCTTGGGAAAGGGGTTGGAAAAGAAGGTCAGTAGTGTTTCTGGGGCTGGTAAATTTTTTCATCTGAGCTATGTGGACGAGACTTGTGCAGCGGTATATAGTGCTCACTGTCTCATCGCTGTTCTATTGAGTTGCCTGTGTAAGAGTAGTCCTGCATAATTTTTACTAGTCATCTTCAGACTTGTGTATTTTTCTGTCTTTCTGTCTCTGAGCTGGAAAAACAGCTCCCTGTTTTCATCTTTCAAACTTCGTATCTGCTTTTGCTAATGGGACTTCTTCACCCTATTTCAGGCACAAAACCTTTTAGATCAACTTGGCAGGCTGAGAAAGCCCACAGCTTGGTAATTTTGCTTGTCAGCATGATGTTTGAGGATTCTCACATTAAAAATCGAGAAACCTATTTTTATATATACTTTAAACATCCTAAGAACGCAGAGAGGAAACCAGAATAAGATGATCAAATGGGGAGGGTAAAGGAAGTAAGGGTAAGGGAGGGAATAAGGGGAGGGGCAACTCAAACTAAAGACCATTAGAAAAACCATATGGAAATCTACTGCTGTGGAAGCTTCCTAAACTATCTCAATATCTGAAATCTAAATTAAGACACCAAATAATAGGGGAGACAATGACCCAAATAGACATCTTATGGCACCGAGTAAAACCTCAAGTGACGGGAACTGGTTACACGTTGTTGAGTTGTTGGTCAAAGAAGTCCCATGGGAATCCCCAAATATTACATCTTATTGCCAAGTTTATTGGTTATTTTGTATAACATGGTGGCAAAGCCTTATGGCTGAATACAATACTTAACCTATGTCATCCAACATGGAAAAATCAAGCCTTTGACCAAACAGAAGTTCCATATTTCCAACTAGGACTCATGGTGCTTTAAAGTACTCTACTGGAGAAGAAAGGTAATCACCAATACCCTAAGCTACAAACCCTGTGACCTACAGCAGTTACTTGTCGGCACGATATATTGGTACAAAAGAAACCGGCAGGCTGTAGAGGTAAGTGTACATCTGACCTTGTGGTTTCTCCAGGGAGGATGAGTTAAGCCCACGCTTCTGACTGTCATGCCTGCTGCGCGGCCTGTGTCCGAGAACGTGCGGAGGGTGTCAGGGATTGACAACACAGAGACTTGTTCAACGATGTAAAGAGAACTTTAAGCAGGCTCCAAAAAGGCTCAAGAAAAACTTCCTAAGAAAGGCATCCACCAGAGAAGCTTCTGCTCTCTCCTCTACCCTGGCTGGTTCTGCTCTGACCCCAGAGGTGGATGTGGGTGGGTCTGAAGGTGCGGTTAGTCTTTTGACAAGGTCGAGGTCAGGGCGGTTTCTGTGGGCAGGCCTTTTCCAGAAACTTATTGCCCCGGGCATTATATTGTTTTTAGTAAACATGTTTTTAGTAAACATTGTCTTACAGCTGCCTACTCCCAGGCCAAAGGGGAAGTGGGTCTCTGCTCAAGGTCTGGTGTCCCCACATCTGACAATCCCCTATTGCTTGCAATACCCCTATTACTTTGCTTGCCAAAATTATGTATATAAAAAGAAAGCTGTCCTAGGGCCTGCGCATGTTCGGTTAGCCGAGCTGCTGAATCGCCCGCAGACGCCTGTATAAAAAATTTAAAAACCTCTTGCGGTTGCATCCAACAGTCTGGTTATTGAGCTCAGGACATCTGGGGTATTCAGCCTGAAGCCTGCTTACTTCAGGTCTTTCAGCTACAGTGACCTGGAATCTGGTGCTAGATAGGTCATGGACCTGTGGGAAAACCTACTACTGTCAGTCTGCTAAAGGTGCATGGAAAAAAAATGTTTACTCCTAATGATACATGACTATGTGCACAGATCAGCACCTTTCAATGCACACCAGAGAATTTTCCTGATGCAGAAGACTGAAATTAACATGCACCCACAAACTGGGCACTGTTCAGAAAGTGAGAGACATGAACACTCAGATTTAAATGCAATGCCTTTATCTAACCTCTCCCCTCAGACCCCAGGGACCTGTAAAGAAGAGGAAGCAGAAAGGTCATAAGATCCAGAGATGATGGGTGATTACAAGGAAGCAGCATCTTCCAGACACAACAGGACAGACACGCGTATAAACTCAGACAGTATGGCAGCTCACGCAAGACCTGCACAGGTTCAACTTTGGAGCACTGAGAAGAGGAAGTGGACACGGGGTCACACCCCTAACCAAGAAACTGTTTACAACCGGTACATAGTAGCAAAGGGGTAACAGTCTTTCGCTAATCGAGAAATTGGGTATATCAAACACATTCCAGAACAGACCCCATGATACTCACTACCCATCTCTGTGTATGACCACAAATCCTTTTAAATAGGAGGTAAACCCCTTTGATGAGTGTGAACAGAACCTTGGCTTCCATCACCCCAAAGGCAGGGGAGTGCCATCTCATCACACTGGAGACCTATGACAGAGGTGTCCTTCAATGGCTGTAAGCAGCCTAACTGATGTCCCAAGCCTAACTGATGTCCCCAACAACACATTTGGAAAATGTTGCAGTTATGACTTTATTTTGTCCTGTTTCCGCAAAAAAAAAAATGCTTTATTGTAACACAGACATTCTTAACTGTGTTTAAACTGACAAATGTTCTCCCTTTCTCTCTCTGTCTATCTATCTATCTATCTGTCTGTCTGTCTATACAAAATTTGGATCCACATCAACATTTCTTCTAAGATACAGAGACTAGCTGTAAGACCACTCAGCTGTGGCCGCCTGTCTTGGTCCTGTTTCTTTAGAATTGCAGCAGACCAGTCCCTTTACACTGTCAATGCTGAGAATACATCAGCTCATTTGCAGCCCAGGAGTTGCTTCCTCTAATAATGATCAGCCTTTGATCCAAGTCCCCAGAGCTTTACACACAATCTACAGAGGAAGTGGGGGGGGTACCACCCTATGCAAGCAAAGGGATCGTCGATGCATTGGCATAATCTATGCACCCAGTTCAATGTGTCACTGCAGAGATGCAATGATTAAAAACATACCTTTTTCATAGGCCCACATCAAACACGTCTGCTCATCTTTTTCACCGCTAGACCTGCTGGGATCACAAGCAACTAGATTCATGTCTGCACCATTATCCAGTAGGAACTGAACCAGGCGAATGTGGCCATGGTAGCAGGCAGAGTGTAATCCTGTGACGGAAAAGAACAAAAGGAGGGGAAGAAGAAAGAAGGAAGAGGTGCTTTGATGTCAAAGGAGTCATCCCTGAAGCAGAATTGTTTCCAGAAATATAAAGCCATGCTTGATATGTGGTGAAGAATTATTTTATTATTGAGAAAACAAGTGATATGTTCAACAGTGGAGGTATTCTAGCCTAAGCAACCTTCTTTTCTGATTACATTTACTCAGAATTTGTTTCTATTTTTTATTCCTATTTGTACAGTAATGGTCAAAAACAAATATCATTGTCTTTTACTAAAGAAAAAAAATAATCAAGAGTCCGGTCAGTATTTCTCTTGAGCAGCAAACCAAGGGCAGTGAGATGCCATCAACCTGTCATGATCCAGGGTACACAGGTTGTGAAGGTTGTATGTAGATTTTTAAACAAACAGTGGAACTGATTTTTGTTATTGGCATTTACCATTAATTCTAAATTACTCTAATTGGTAAAACACCTTGGTCCCTGGTGCTTGGCCATTGTCAGTTTTGGCTCTACACTGTTCCTGATAACTGACGTGTCTGTGTAGATTGATATGATGTTCTCGGCACAGTCTTACCTGTGTGTCCATCTCTTCCTCGGTGATTAATGTTCACAGCATTCTGATCAAGAAGAAATCTGACAAGGTCAATGTTCTTGCCGTAGGTACAAGCACTGCGGAAGTACAAAATAAGAAAGACTAAGGGTGCTTATGTGTTGAGTCATGTCCACAAGGAAGTCCTCATTCCCAGGATTTCAGCGTGGATGGTGTTAAGAGATACTGTCCTCCAAGATGTAGTTGAGGTACAGTGGGATACTTAAGAGTAAGTAGATCCTAATCCAGTAAGGTTGGTGTCCTTGTGGGAAACCAAACTTGGGACAAAGGTTTCACGAGTAGGTTGAACACAGAAAAGCAGAGAAGTCAACCATCCTCAATCCAAAAAGAACATGTGTGTAGGAGGCCAAAGTTGTCAGCACCCAGATTTTGTAGATCTGAAGGTGTGAAATGGCGCACCACTATTGCCTAAGTCACCCAGGGTGCTGTATGTATGCTGATAGGAGAACCATAACAAATGACACAGACTTTGTTAATCCAGGCCAACCCAGCATGGGTGTGTGTGGAAAAGTGACAGAGACACAGGCAGGGAAGAGAGAGGGGAAAGGAGAAGGGGAGAGGGAACAGAGCTCCTGTATGCACCTCTTAGCCGCTGGGGCAAAACAAAGCATCGTGGAATTCCTGGAATTTTGGTTAATCCTTCCCCCATGTTGTCAATTTACCTTTACTCTAGCACATACATCAAGATAGTCAAATGTGTGTTCCAGACAAGTCCAGGGAACTTTTATCAAACTGAGGTAATCATCTGAAATTAATCCTCAGGGAAAGGATCCCATTTCTCTCAAGGGCTCCAGGTTGCTGCTGTTCTAGGCAGCATGTCCATACACTAGCCTGGAATGTGCTCTGGCCTCTGAGCTTGAGTTTCCATTTTTTCCTCCCTCCCAACTTGCCCCGTGCTGTGGAAATTTCAAATGAATACACACTATGGTGTCATAACACAGGCCGTGGACCATGCTCATGATGGCTTCTTTCTGGCTGGAGAGAGCAATGACATGGTAAAGGACCCAAAGGAAATATGATTGTATTATTTTTCTCTCATATTTTATGTCTCAGCCACAGTTTCCACTCTCCCTCCCTGAAGTCTGTTTCCTCCACACCTCCCCTCCCAGATCCACCGCTCTCCATCTCCCATGAGAAAAGAGCTGGACTTCCATGGACACCAAGAAAATATGGCAGAACCAGCCACAATAAGACCAGGCACATAAATCATATCAAGGCTAGATGAGACAACCAGTAGGAAGAGAAGTGACCCCACAAGCAGGCAAAAGAGTCAGAGTTCCTGCTTCCACCATTAGAAATCCCACAAAACACAAAGCTACACAGTCATCACATATGCAGAGGACCTAAGTAAAACCCTTATAGGCTCCCTGATCTCTGTGAGTCTCTATGAGTTCTAGTCATTTGGTTCTGTGGACCCTGTTCTTGTGGTGTCCCTGGCCCCTGTGGTTCCTCTGATCCTTCCTTCTCCTCCTCCACAGGACTCTCCAAGCTCTACCTAATGATTGGCTGTGGGACTCTGCATCTACTCCCATCAGTTGCTGGATGAAGTCTCTCTGGTCCCTTTGATGATGACTCTGGTAGGCTTGTGGCCACTGAACAATCAGTAGCCAGGACTTCTGTAGGCCAAAGATTTGATAGTTGGATTGGTGTCCCAATAACTCCACTTGAGACCTTGCCTAACTGTAGAAAATGACCCATTCAGGTTCCATGTCACCTATTATTAGGAGTTTTGCTAGGGATGCTCTCAAATATTTCACGAAGTTTCCATTTCACTAGATTTCCGCTCTAAAGTTTTTTCCCCTGCCACTTGATCCTTCCTTTCCCCAGCCCTACCTGCCCCCAGTCTACCCACAAAATCTATTCTATTTCCCCTTCCCAGGGAGATCCTTGCATTCCTCTTTAAGGCCTCCTTGTCACTTAGCCTGTCCGGGTCTGTGAACCACAGTATGTCTACCTTTTACTTTATAGCTCATATCCACTCATAAGTGAACACATCACGTGTTTGCCTTTCTGGGTCTAGGTTGAAAAATCATCACTCAGGATGATTTTTTTTCTAGTTTCATATATTTGCCTGCAAGTTTCAAGATGTTATGGCTTTAAGAGTTGAGCAATGCTCCATTGTGTGACTGTATCACATTTTCTTTATCTATTATTTGGATGAAGGATATCTAGATTGATTCTAGTTTCAAGCTATTATGAATGAAGATCCTATGAACATAGTTGAGCAAGTGTCCTTGTAATAGGATGGAGGGTCTTTGGTGGTTCAGCTAGGTCTTGAGGTAGATAGATTCTTAATTTTCTGAGAAACCACCATATTGATGTCATATAAAATTAAATAGAGAGAAATGCAAAGCGATTCCACTAAAATCAGGTGTAAGACAGGACTGCCTACTCTCTCCATATCTATTCAAGATAGTACTTGAAGTTCTAGCTATTGCAGTAAGACAACTGAAGAAGATCAACAGGGCCAGGCAATGGTGCTGTATGCCTTTAATCCCAACACTCGGGAGACAGAGGCAGGCAGATCTCTGTGAGTTCAAAACCATCCTGGTCTACAGAGAGTTCCAGGACAGGCTCCAAAGCAATACAGAGAAAGCCTGTCTTGAAACCCCCCCCAAAAAATAATAAAATAAAAAAGAATGTCAAGGGTATACCAATTAGAAAAAAAGTCAAAATATCATTAGCTGTTGATAAGGTATTATACATAGACAATACCCCAAATTCTACCAGGGAACTCTTACAGCTGAGGAACACCTCAAGCAAAGTGGCTGAATACGAGTAGCCCTCTTACATACTGATGACAACTGGGCTGAGAAAGAACGCAGGGAAATAACACCCCTCACAATAGCTGCAAATAATAAAAAATATCTTGGGGTAACCTTAACCAAGCAAGTAAAAGATCTGTATGATAAAAATTTCAAATCTTTGAAGAAGGAAATTGAAGATGGTATCAGAAACTGGAAAGGGCTCCTAGATCATAGATCAATAGGAGTAATATAGTATAAATGGCCATCCTACCAAGAGCAATCTACACATTCAAAGATTTCAAGCTATACTATGCATGGGTAGTGATAGAAATAACTGTGCGGTATTGGCATAAAAACAGACACATTGATCAACAGAATTGAATCAAAGATGCAGACATAAATCCACGCATCTCTGCACACCTGATTTTTTTATAACAAAGTCAGAAATATATAAAGGGAAAAAAGCTTCTTCAACAAATGGTACTGGTCTAACAGGACTTTGGCATGTAGAAGAATGCAAAAAGATTCATATCTATCAAGTGCAGACACACACACACATACACACACACACACACACACACACACACACACACACACACACACGGAAAAATTCAAGTCAAAGTAGATCAAAGACCTCAATGTAAAATAAAAGCAGATACACTGACCTCAAAGAGAAAGCAGGGATAGGTTGCCTTGAATCCATAGGCAGAGATGACAGCTTCCTGAACAGAACACCAGTAGCGCAGACACTAACTCAACAATTAGTAAATGGGACCTCATTAAACTTAAAAACTTCTGTAGGGCAAAGGACACCATCAATAGGACAAAACGGCAGCCCACAGAATGGGAAGAGATTTTCACCAACCCCACATCTACCAAGAGTTGATTTCCAAAATATACAAAGAACTCAAGAAACTAGACAGTAACAAACTAAATGATCCAAAAAAACATAGGTTACAGATCTAAGCAGAGAATTTTCAAGAGGTGACTATCAAGAATTAATAATTCTATAGATCAATTTTGCCACAGATCTGTTGAACTACTTAAATGGAATTTCAACTTCCAGTGCTTACCGTGAAAGCTGAAATGCAGGGAAGAGAGAGTTTGTGTGAGATAAACACATTGTGTATGTGATGCTTGTCTTACTGCTGTGGCAGGAGTAACAAGGGAGGGAGAGGCTCCTTTGGCTCACAGTTAAAGAGGGAACAGGCGGCTGTGCAGGGAAGACAAGCAGTCAAGCCTGGAGCAGTGGAGCAGCCAGGGCTGCAGTCAGAAAGCAGAAGAAGACAGAGTGTGGTGCTCAGCTCATGTCTTCCTTCAGTGTGTTTTATTTAGATTGGAAAGATTCCACTCATAGTCACGATGGGTCTTCCCTTCCCCAGTTAAACCGTTCCCCCAATGTCTCCTCATCCAAGGGTGATTTTACATCCAGCCAGTCAAGAAGAAAATGAAGATTAAGCATGACACCTATCAATGATTACAGTCTTTTGTTTTTAACTTGCAAGTGTCAGAAATAGTCCCTTCTCTGTAGTTTCCCTTTACAGAAAGTGATCACTCACTGCATCCTCCCAAACCCTGGGAAGGTAGGTTTTCTCATGAAGCATAGGGAACAGCTACATATAACCAGGGACTCAGTTCAGCAGTTTCCCGGGTCTCACTACTTCCTCTTCCTGTGGTGGCCCTTGACGAAGTCACTCTTAATGAAGTTGTCCGTGCATTGGACACACAAATCCTTTCCCGTGTGATGCTTTCTCATGAACCAAAGTCAGAGCTCACTATCTCCAGGGCTTCTTCATTGTGCCTGGTGATGGACAAACTTCTGACTTCCTTCACATCTTAGAATGGGGCTCATTCAAGGCGATGAGGGATCCTGTTATGGTAATGTTCGTGGTCCAGTCTCTACAGGGAAGGCTTGCAGTAATCCTTTCTTTGATGACCGCATGGATAAATCATCACTATCTTATTACAACGTATCATATCGCTTTCAACTATTTACACCAAAAAAAAAAAAACAGGCCAGCAACACTACACATTTCATAGTTCCTTGTCCAAGTTGTTTCATTAGTCTTTTCAGAGCAACTACTTACAGGACATGGCACGTTAGAAAGATATGTGTGTGTATTCACATGTGTGTGTTTACACAAATGGACCTATATATGTATATATGTGTTTGTGTGTATTTATCCATCTGTTTGTGGACATGCACACACATACACACACACACATATTCTATCATGGTTAACTTATATTGTCAACTTGATTGTGTTAATAAACCATTGGGGTGTTAGTGGAGCACACCTATGCATGTTTCTGTGAGGATTTTCAAAGACAGATCTAATTGAGACCTCTCCTGACTGTAGGTGTCACCATCCCATGGGCCGGTGTCCTCGAGGGAATAGATACAGGGAAAGAAGGAACCAGCTGGGTGGTGACACCCACCTCTGAAGATGGAAAGCGAGCCACGCCAAGGATACCGGGTAAAGGGGGTGAATACTATATATTATTTGAGAGAGTAGTCACTTAGATGAGAAGGCAAGAACCGGCATCAGAGCTCTCTGATCGCCGAACGTGATCCAGGCCCCAAGAGAGAGAGCACCTCCCTTCCCCAAACTCTTATCTCTGGTCCCTCCTACATGCCTGTGACCACGCCCAAGTAGGTGTGGTCAGCGGTGAGGTGCCTATGATCTCTCCCTATACTCCTCTGTTTGCGGGCAGCCCACAGCTACAAGACAAGCAGCTGCCTCACTCTCCAGGCATTGTGTCTCTTCTATTACGATGGAATGTGTGGTCTCAACCTGTGAAACAAAGTAGATCCTTCCCCTCTCAGCTGCAGCATGTCTTTATTTGGCCATAGAAAAGCAACGGATAGATACTTAGATTTTCTTCAACTTTGAAAGGATTTTGAAACCATGGACATAATAACCTAAGTAGAATCACTGCTTCCCCGTACGTGCTTTTTTCTTTGCAACCGGTCTGGTTGTGAAAAGCAAACAAATCTTCAATTTCATCTTATATTTGCAGGCCTGATGCCTGATATAGAAGCTATAGAAGCACAAGGTTAATGTTACTTTCGGATTAATGATTTTTTTCCTTTCTGTTATTCACCAACGTAAACCAAATGATATGCATACAAACAAATGGGTCTGGAATCCATGTTTTAGCAGTTGCCAAAAAATAAAAAAATAAAAACCTGAGAAATACATAATACATAAAGTCTAAATAAATGATCTTTCTAATTAAGGTTTATTAAACTCGAAGTATTATTCTTTATCTTAAAATGACAACCCTTTGGGGCTCCTAATGCTGTGAAGCACCCACCCACCTTCCTCCTGGATGGCACAGAAGCCGCCGTGTCTCTGAGCTACCAGCAGTCTCCTGCTTCATTTGCTTGTCAAGCTTGGGTGCATCTTTTCCAATCCCAGCTGATCCTGCAGGATGCTTTCCTAAGGGCACTAACAAGGGCTTTTAAGGGCTCCAAGAAAAGAGCTAACTTCCTGGGTATCCCAACACCATCCCGACTAGGCTTGTAGCGGCTGACAGATGAGCATCTTGGGTAGACACATTTGCACATAAGGTTTAAGGAAGTAGGGGGGAAAGTGTCATATTTGATGCTGATGAATCCTAGTAATGAGATCCTTGTCGGAGGAGGAGGAGGATTACGGGTACAGCCCCGCTTGGCAGGTTCTCACAGAGTGACGAGCAATATGCTTACAGATGTTAATAGGCATGTTGCCTAGGTAACGCCAGTCTCTATGGCTCCCGCTGGAAAGGCAGCATCTGGCTCCAGCCCCATCTGCTCTACTGATAGCAGTGCCTGCCTCTACCTTTCCCTCCTGCATCCCTGCATCCGGCCAGCCTTCTCCTCCTTTGCCTCCTACATCTGCCCTCACTGTCTGATAACAACATCCGTTTGTTGTTTGTTAGGCCTTTGTGTACATGACTTTGGGTGCCACGTGGCCTCGGCCAAGCTCAGTGGCTGCTGCGCGCAGGTAACTCTTTACCTGTGGAAAGGTGTCTCGCTGAAGATGTTTTCCTTGGTCAGACTTTCAGTCCCTGTGACCTGGATGATTTCCTTTGCGACCTCGAAGTTTCCACTGTAGCACGCCCTGGACAGGAAGAAAATACCCTGGCATGTTGATTTGCAACAGGACGGCGAGTGGGTCGTGAGAAACGGCCAAGGTGTACTCACAGGTGCAAAGGGGTGTCCCCGTAGATGTTCACAACGTGGGGCTGAACCTCCGAGTCGCTCCGGAGCAGATACTCCACGATGCTGTGGTGCCCAAAGCGAGAACAGAAGTGCAGAGGGGAGTGGTCCTCATTGTCCTGGGCGTTCACTGCCGTTGGAGAGAAAGCACAGGTTGCAGTCATCTTCTCTCGCTTCCTTTATATGTACAGTGACACGCGCTTTGCCTAAGTGCCGAAGATACTCTCGGAAATTGCCAATTACTGTTTATAACAGAGGAGATTAAGTGCAACCGATTAAAAAAAAAGTTGCAATTCTGTTCTATTGCCTATTACCGAATCAAATAGGCTTTCCTTTAGAGCTCACAGATTCTATGGACACACAGCTAATCAAATTTGTCTTGCAGTGAAGAAACTGGTAAGCACCCGAAGCATCTGTGGCCTCATTCCCATAAGTACCCCCTTCCAACTGAACCCTGTTTCCTCTGAAGGATTTTTAAGCTTTGAAAGTTCTTGACCTGCCTGGCTCATACAATCCCTCCTCCCTTTCTTCAGGAGGATTCCTGGAGCTTAGCCCAGTGCTTGGCTGTGAATCTCTGCATCTGCTTTCATCAGTTACTGGATAAAGGCTGTCTGATGGCAATTAGGGTAGTCACCAATATGATTACTGGAGATGGGTAGTTCAAGGAACCTTCTCCACTATTGCTAGGAGTCTTACTGGGGTCCCCCTTGTGGATCCCTGGGAGTATCTCTGGTACCAGGTTTCTCCCTAACCCATGAAGATGTCTCCTTTATTACTCTCCCCTTCCATCCTGCCCTCAACCTGCCTCTCATGCCCAGCCTGCCCAACCTGCTCCCTCAAGTTCTTATCCACTCCATCCCCCACCACTCCCCAGTTTACCCATGGGATGTCTTCTATTTCCCCTTCCTAGAGAAAGACCTACATCCCTCTTTGGGCCCTCTTTTTACCTAGCCTCTCTGGGCCTGTGGATTGTAGCTTGGTTATCCTGTACTTTACTCCTAATATTGACCTATGAGTGAATACTTGCCATGCTTGTCTTTCTGGGTCTGGGTTACCTCACACAGAACGACTTTTTTTCTGGTTCCATCCATTTGCCTACAAATTTTATGAGATCATTGATTTTTTTTACAGCTGAGTAATACTCCATTGTGTAAATATGCCACATTTTCTATATCCATTCTTTGGTTGAGGGGCATCTAGATTGTTTCTGGGTTCTGGCTATTACAAATAATGCTGCTATGAACACAGTTGAGCAATTATCCTTGTGGTATGATTGAGCATCCTCCGGGTATAAGCCCCAGATTGGTATAGCTAGGTCTTGAGGTAGATTGATTCCCATTTTTCTGAGAAACCACCAGATTGATTTCCAGAGTTTCCACCCACACTAGCAGTGGAGAAGCGCTCCCCTTACTCCACATCCTCTCCAGCATAAACTGTCATTGGTGTAGTGAGGTCAGGACCTGTCCCTGGTACCTAGCTGGCTTTTGGGAACCTGTTCCCCAAGCTAGATTACCTCACCCAGCCTTTTTACAGGGGGAGGAGTTCAATCCTACCTCACCTCAATGTGGCATGCTGTAATTAAGCTCATGGGAGGTCTGCCTTGTCCTTCATAGGGATGGAGGAAGAGTTTTTGGGGAGGGAGTTAGGCCGGAGTTGGGAGTCAGGAACGGGAGGGGAGAAGGGAGGAAAAACTGTGGCTGGTATGTAAAATAAATGGGAAAATGACAATAAAATAAAATTTCTGGACTGGTGAGATGACCCATTGTATAATGGCATCACCCACAGAGTCAGTGAACCTGAGTTCTGTCCCCAGGCCCCACATGGTTGAAGGACAAAACTGAATCTTATAAGTTGTACTATGGCTTTTCGTATAAGCTGTGGTTCATGCCCCCATACATAGATCCTTGTAATTCAGATTTTAAATTAAAGATCCCACTGAGACCACTAAATCCAGTAGTGCTGGTCCAGTGGGTGGAGGTGAAAACCAGTGACCTGAATCTTAGGGCACTGTGTGGCAGGTCCTGTGCTCCCCACCTGAGAGCTACCAACTACACAGAGAGAGGAGCATTTCTGATGAGCGTGCTCAAAGGGATCTCTGGTTTCTGACAGGGGATGTCCTCCTGTATATAGACTTATTGGTTAATGAATAAAACACTGTTTGCCCAATGAGGCAGGAAGACAGGCAGGTCCAGGAGGCAAGGAGAATTCTGGGAAAGGCAGGCAGAGTGAGCCTCCCACACAGAGTCGCCATGCTGCCGAAGAAGGAGTAATAGCATTCCAGGGCATTACCAGGTAAGCTTGGGCCTCATGGCAATACACAGGTTGACAGAAGTGGGTTAATAATTATGACGGAGCTAGCCAATAGAATTCCTAGCCTTGGCCAATAGTTTTATAATTAATGTAAGTCTCTGTGTGCTTATTTGGGGCTCAAGGGCTGTGGGAGCAGCTGGGAGAGAAAACTTGCAGCAGCAGGTTTCGTCTGTGACAGTATGGTGGCAAGCACAGCAAGGTTAGCCGTGCTGCCCTGGATAATTAGCAGCCGTGGTCCTTCACTCGCCCCGATTCTCTGGCTCAGACACCTTTCCATCATTTCCTCAAACCAACTCACCACATCAGACTCTGACTTTGACACGGGACGCTAGGACCCAGTCTATCCTGAAAATATGGTCACTGGTGACATTAATGTCATCTGGTTTTTCTGGACAGCAATTCCAAGCACAGGATTAGGGTCCTGTCTGGATGCTTCTAGAAGCCCAATGTCTGGGTGTGTCTCTATGAGACCCTTGTTGGGGTTGGTGATGGGGAAGTCCTGTGTATATGTCAATAAAGCACTGTTGGCCAATAGGGAAGCAAGATAGGTGGGACTAGGAGTTGAGGAGGACTCTGGGCAGGAGAAACACAGGGAATCATTATGTAGCTTCTATAGGGGTAAGAAGTTTGGAACTTTTCTCCAGTAAGAAAAATGCTTAGATTAACAATTATGGGGTAAACACTTAAGTCAGAGCTAGCCAGTAAGAAACAAGAAAGGCCAACAGCTTCATAATTAATACAGCATCTTGTATGTTATTTGGGGACTACAACTTGGCAGAGCCCAGGCAACTGGTGGGGAAAATCCAAAGCGGCTGGCAAGGAAAATGCTTCACTCAACAGCAAACGAAGAAACTTTAGCTGTGTCCTTGCAAAGCCTCTGAAGAGTGCTTCAGGAAAACACCCTTTCCTCAGAACACGCTTTCCTCAGAACAACTTGGCTTTTTTCATTATCTGCTTGTCTGTAATTATTTGATTTTTTTCATGTTCCATTAGAAGCCACGTAAAATCAATGCCTGGAGCCCTGGGTATCAGCAGCCTCCTCTGAAGGCTCTGGAGCATCTAGCAAAGACTAAAAAAATAGTGGAGCACACTCTTATGTAAACTTGTGAAGCCACTGGGCCAAACTCGACCCTTCCTGGTGTGGTTGCTCTCTAACAGAACCAAGGGGACTTCAAGGTGCCCTCCTCCCTGGTGGACACTCCTCTGTGCTGTTGCGGACATTTCTCCCTCCACTGCACACTGAGGGGTGTGGCGTCAGACACAGGGATCACACAGCTTTGTCACAGTCATTGTGAGGTACTTGCTTTTATCTTGGACTGAGTCTAAAATGTGCAAATCTTGGTGTTACCTTAGGAACATTGAACTTTGATGACAGTTTGCAATAGCTTAGCATTTTTCTAATGGCAAGCCTGGTAGTGCAGGTAGGTCTCTGACCCAAGATAGATCTGAGACATTGGCATTTTGACTTCAAGATGAGCCTGGGCTATAGAGTGAGTTCAAAATCAGCAAGGTAACTTAAGGAGACCCTCTGGTTATTGCTTGGTGGTGGGCAGTTTATGGAGCATGTACAGAGTCTTGAGACTCAATCCCCACCAAAGCAAGAAAATCTCTAATCAAGACTCTTATGTAAGGGAGACTTCCAAACAAACGAATGTATGTTGTTCACTATCAGGAAACTATCTCATGATGGAACACGTGTGTATGTGTGTGTGTGTGTGTATACACATATGAGTGCAGGTGTCCAAAGAGGTGAGCATACCAAAAGATTCCTAAATCCAGAAACAGGTGGTTGGAGTCATGTGATGTGGGTGCTGGCTGTTGACCTCAGGTCCTCTAAATGAGCAGTACATCCTTTTAGACACAGAGCCCTCTCTCCAGCCCTCATCTTGACAGGTTTTCACAGAATTCTGCACTAGCCTGCGGCACCCTAGAGGAGGGCATCACGTTAGAGAACTTAAGTATTCAAAAGTGAATGGGTAAATATTAATAAATATTAACTTAAAAATGTTCTCACTTTCAACTTGGTTGAAAGGATACATTTTAAGGGCTATCTCTGTATTTTCAACCTCACTTCCATGAGGATTATTTTTCTTTCTCCTTGCCCCGAAAGGACACGCTGAAGCAAACCAGAGACTTGGAAACACCTGGCTGGACAGGGCAGCCTCTGAAATGTCATGAGCCGACGAGCCTACCTTCTGAATTACATTTTGGGCAACATTGAAACCTGAATATATTCTCATTTACAGCATTTCATTTCCATGGAAACATATTGTAAATACTAGACTGCAAATTGTCCTTCTTTCGGGGCCATTCATTTAATCTTTCCTGTGTGTCCATTTACTGCAAGAAAAGTCTAGAGTTTAAATAAATCATCTCAAGCGTCAGCTACATTTTCGAAGAGGTGAGTTCACTGATGCTGAGTCTTATGCAATCCAGCATGTGGGGTAGGGTGGGCTGTGTTTTCTGCAATCACTGGAGTTCAAGGTGGGCAGACTATCAAGTGTGCTAGAAGGAAATGAGCATACTTAAACATCTGAGTCATGCTGGGTTTTTTTGCTTTAGATGATTGAGTAGGAAGAATGTGATACTTGTATGTGTCAGAAAGAAGACGCTAGAAATTATACCGTGAAGTTGAGGCTTATAAGGGAGTTTGGGGCTGCACAGATTTCAGTGCCTTTTGCAGAAGAGTCCTTTGATCGTGGAGACGTGCTGATCATAAATGGCTCACGTTTGACACTGTCAGGCTTTGGAGTTGTGCAGGAACAAAAAAAAAAAAAACGGAGGCTGCCATGGATAGTGAGAGGGAGGGGTGATGCACTTCCTGGTCCCAGTGAGAGAGCCGGGCTGTTTCAGAATGTAACAATGTTGCTGGGGCTTCCCACAGGTGCACCTCTGCCTTGCCTATGCTGAGAGAATGAATGAGTGCCCACGATGCTTAATTGAGGGTCACACCTCGCCTTTGTCCTGACTGACGGCTCATGCTTCTTGCCGTGATCCTATCATGTAGATGCCTGAGTTGTTGCATAAATGGCCCACAGAAAACAACACAAGAGGTGCTCCTCAATATCCACAAAACACAGTGGCTGATTTTCGACATGAGCCACAGGCTTTTGCATCCTCTTGCCTGGGGGTCAGAGTCGCTGGACTTCCTCACCACTGGATGGAAACATCGATTAGCTTTAGTCAATGATCACCAATTTGAATTCTGGACCCAAGGAACTGGCAGCTCTGTGGGCCTGACAACCGTGTTCTTTTGGAGCTGTGCATCATTGCGGCTGTAAAGGCCAGAAGCTCACACAGATGGGCATCTAATTAGGTCTCTGGGGGCGGTCAGTGGGAGGAGGCTGGATATGCCTGAGAGGATTTTATGGCCAGATGTAGCTCTCTGTGAATCTGCGTCAAAAGTACAAACTCTCAGAGGGAGAGTCTTCTTCTGTAACGCCAGTTTCAGCCAACTTTCCAACATTTATTTAATAATTAAAAAAACCCTAAACTGATGACCCTTAGACTTTATCCCTATCAACTCAGAGCATAGTCTGTTGGGATGGAACAGAACACATTGCTACAGGGTTTGTCAATATTACAACTACCCTGGGAGACTGTCCAGAAATCCCTTAACAGTCCAACACACGCATACCCTAGGGTCCAACAATTCCACACCTATTCAGGAGGGGTAAATGCATCTGCTAACCAAAGGATTTACATAATTGAAAGATGGCAGGAACATCAAATGATAGTCAGGAGGAAGTTGGACATGCAAACGGTAGCATATTTGTGGCATTCTGCCGTTTAAAAGACTAGACTCTGCTTGATGCAGTAATTGGGATACATGTCAAGATTACCCTCGCAGGCAAAGTTTGGAGCTGGAAGATGGCTCACTGAGGAAGAGCACTTGTTGAACAAGCATGAGGGCCTGAGTTCAAATCTCGGCACCCACGTAAAAAGCTGGTTGCTATTCAGGGGTTCCTATAAACCCCACTGCCACTGGAGTCAGAAACAGGAGAATCGCTGGTGTGTTCTGACTCCCAGCCATGTGCTCTAGGTTCACAGAGAGACCTTATGTCAAGGGACTACATCAGAGTAATAGAATAGGACAGCAATTCCCTAGTGTCTACATGAGGCTGTGATGATTGGAACACACACAGGCATACACTATGTACACACCACACACACACACACACACACAGAGAGAGAGAGAGAGAGAGAGAGAAAACCAAAAAATAAACATAGCATAGCACAAAACTTTTTAAAGAGGAAACAAGGTGATCTGTAGCAGGAGAGCCTGGAAGATGGCTCCAAATGTACTGAATTTTCTATATGTAAATTATACCTCCACTGGAGGAAAAGATCAGTGAGCAACATCTGATAGATCCAGCTATCTGGGCCACTCCTTCCTACCACTGGGGTAGTGAGCAAGTGGGAAACTGAATTGAAGGGTGTGAAGGAATAGCCTCATTTGAGTTTAACAAACACACTTTAAAAAAAATAAGGGGCGACTTGTGGAACCCTTTGGCTAGCACCCCTCTGCAGAAGCAGCCTGCCTCAAGCTCGATCCTAGGACAGCGAGGGAAAGGCACGGCCAGCATGACATGGAGGCCAGCATGGCATGGAGGCGGCAGACACAGCCGTACCATCAGCTTTGCTCCCCTTTTCTATCAGGAGTTTCACGATGCTGAAGAACCCTTTCGCGGAGGCGAGGTGCAGAGGCCTGTCTCCAACTTCGCCGCTTACGTTGACATCAGCGCCAAACTTCAAAAGGATCCTGGTTACCTAAGGGAGCCCATCATTTGAAATTAGTGTGGGAGAGAAAAAAATCAGCAGTGTGTTTGTTCCTCAGAGCGCACGCCTGTAATCTCAGCAACCGGGGCGTTGGAAGGTAGAGGCAGGAGGGGGATCGAGAGTTTAATGCTATCGTCAGCTTCAGGGTTGCGTGCTTGGCTAGCCCGGAACATCTTAAACCCTGTCTTAACCTGTTCCCACCCCTCAAAAAACATAATGGAGAACATCTACTGTCTAAAACACCTACGCTATCTCTTAGGATGCTTTCATCCAAATTAACAGGAAAAATCCTTACCCAACCAGTCAAAAACAGTAGAGAACTTACGTTATCACTGAAAAGAAGCCCAACAGTAAAGCAATTTCATTCTGGGTCCTTCTCCCTAAGGAATGGTGCCACCCACAGTGGCAATTTCACATTTCAATTAACAGTTAAAGACAGTCTTCTGTAGACAGGGCCACAGGCCAACTTTCAATAGACAGTCCTCCATTGAGGTGCTCTTTCTGGATGACTCTACAAGGGTACCAAGTTGACACTTAAAACTAACCAGCAGTGTCACCTGTTGGAAGTTAACAAGAAGGGGACCCCATAGTTAACCGGAACCATAGTCTGACCTACGTAGGCTCTGGCCCCTTCAGATGAGTAGTGAAATAACCACTGTCTGGTGTTTCCAGTGTTAGGGGTGGGACCCAGGGACCTCGAGGTTGCTAGGCAAGTGTCATATCAGTGAGCTACCCTCCCGTACATACTGACCAGTTCTGTTAGTGTTTCACCCCAAGCGCCTCTGAGATAAAGTGAAAATCATGGGCAGGCCTAACTCGCAGGTCGTGGTGAGGGCCAGAGGGCGTGGTAGTTCTAGTGGGCCAAGCCCCATGGCTGACATATAGCAGAACGGTGTGGCAGACATTGGATAGATAGAAACCCCCAACAACAAGGCAGACGGGGAAAAGAGCTTTCCGTTAGGTGTACCAAGGAAGAAGAGCAGGGGCTCGGAGGCCCAGCTCCTACATCTTAGCGACGGGACTGTGATCTGAGGAGCTAGTCTTTTGAGACCTCAGTTTTGGAGACCCTCTCCAAATGGGGGAACAGTAACGAGCCGCTGTGAGGATTGAGTAAGTCAGTCCTTGTAAGGTACGCACAGTAGCCCCTAAACATCCATCCATTGAAATGGTGACACGCTCGAGAAGCGTGTGCGTTGTACCCTTCTGTCGGCTAATGGGCAGATCTACACTTAGCTTCCCGTCCGCCAGAACCCAGCTGCCTATGCAGATCTTCCCACTCCTGCCATCTCTGTGACTTCATAACGGACACCTTAAACTCTCCAGGAAGTCGGTTGTCTCTTAAGTACTTAGAAACGCCGCTCCTGCTACAAAGCACCTGTTCCTCCACTTAAAATTAAGTGGGCAAACGAAAGAAAAGGAACAGGGTGAGGCATGCTCGCTCACAGGCTGAATTTTCCCGTCTCCGTGTCAGCATATTCTAGCAAATGACAACAGTTTCCATAAATTACCAGTATGCTGCCTCCACTCAGAAAGCGAGTCCCTTATCATAAAAGTGCCATCCGCATGTTAGCGTAATTTGTACGGCCGTGACTACACTTCCAGGAAAAGTAAACAAATTTAGCTCCTCAGTAGCATGTATAGAGGCTCCTCATCTCTCTGCCGGGCTGGGAGGTTAATCAGCAAAGTTGATGACTAGGCAAACGGCGTGCCTAGTATGCACCCTGCTCCTGCTTAGCTCCAGGGCTTGTGTGTGTGTGTGGGGGTCTTCCCATCATCCAACTTTTGGAGTCTGCACACGTACTGTGGCCCGTGTCCGGCTCCTCGGGGCCCTGGGTACACTCTGAGTAGCACACGGGTGTGCTGCCAAGTTTCATAACATGTGGCTTGTACTTCACAGGCTCAAGAGTGTGCAGGCTTGTGCCCACTAGTGGGGACACAAAGGCACGAAGACCAGAACAGCACAGGACACGGATGGACCCCTCCAGGGACCACCGGGGAGAGATGGCTCTGGAAGGGTTCACAGGAAGATAAAGAGTACAAATATGAAGGGCAGTTTTGTAGTTTTGTGTATGTGTGTGTGTGTGTGTGTGTGTGTTTTAAGGGGGGTTATCTACTTTTATATTTCGGAGATTGTTCGGTTCTTTACAGTTTTTTTTTTCCAAAATAGCTAAGGAGTGATGGTTGAAATCAGTACAGGAGCTGTTTGTCTTTCACTTTGCAGAGGTAGAAAAACCAATAGATTTGGGAGTTAGAACACATTGTTTGGAATTCTGACTTCACTGTTTAAATTGCCTGTGTTTGATGGCTTTCTGCATGGCCTCATGGAGAAGGCACAGGGCTGGAGGCCGCCCAGGAGCCCTCTGACAGGAATGCTACCTGCCATACCCGGATTGCAGCTTATAGTTGGTAACTGGGGTCATATGGCACCCAAATCAGAAATTATTTCCGCAGAGCCGTGCTCCCTGATGGCTGCGGGTTCCTATTTGCGAGGCTTCTGGGAAGTTCTGGCATCCCCAGCCCTTCCCCCAGGTGACTGAGCTCTCATCCCTATTTTTTTGTTCACAGCTCGCTCACTGGCTCTCATTTCCTTCCCTCTCTCATATAGACAGACCCCTGAGAACCGTCAGGCCTGTCAGTAAACCTGAGGCAATCTCCTGAAAACTTTAAACCTGATCACAAACTCAAGTTCCCCTTAAGGCAAGTCACAGGCTCAGAGCCACAGCAGGCACGGGGTTTCGGGAAGGACTTTTCAGTCTCCAACATCCCCTGAGAGTAGAAAAGAGGAAACACGTTTCTGAACGACACCTGTTTCAGAGAGCTGCTGGGAGGGCCTCTGTAATACATCTTATGCCTTGCTTTATTAGTCTCTTAATGGTGATGTGCACTGTGCATCTCCCAAGCAACTCTATTTCTATGTAAAGGCATCCCTGGAAAGTCCATATCATAAATATTTTCTTCCATTAAGAAATGAATATCAGAGGTACTATATAGACTACAGGTAGCCATAAAAGTGGGAAACATTCCACCCCCCCAAATTCAGGCCACCTGATTCCCATTTCTGCAAACTGCGATAGACATTCTCACATCTCCTTTCTGCCCTAAGACAGCCACGGTGAATGGCAAATAACGGTAATGTGTACGTGGATCAACAAACTCCTGCAAATGGAGCTGATGAGAATATTGCACAAATTGCCCTCCTTATACTGGGGTTCAAACCCAGGACTCTGAGCATATGAGACAAACTGTCTATCACTGAGTGGTGCTGGAGCCCCGAAGAACCCCTTTTGTTGAAGCTGCCCTGCAGCCGCCCGCTGGCCTCTGTAGCTGTCACTCCAGACATACCTGCTCATGCCCGTAGTAGGCTGAGATGTGGAGTGGGGTGAAGAAGACAGCATCTTGGACGTTAGCATTGGCTCCGTGCTTGAGCAACACTTCTGCAGCCTAGATGACAAAGAGGTACTTGTTAGCGACCTCTCCCAGGGCTGCCAAACATCTGAGTTTAGTTTGTCAGTGGTCGTGCAGAGCTCCCAATCAGGAAGTTTTGAAACACATCCTTCCTCCACTTCCTCTGCCTTTGCCTATAAAACAAAACCCAACACTTTTCATAGGGCGTTTGTAACGCGTATTCTTCTGGTCTGCCGCCTGGGTCCTGCCTAGCTGTCTGAACCCCCAAATAACACACAGGACACTAAATTAATTATGAAGCCATGGATCATTTGTTATAGTTTTGTCATTGGCTATCTCTGACTTAATTATTGACCCATAATCACCAATATATATTTTTATAAGGGCTTATCTTTCCAAGAACGCAGACTTCTGTCCCCTCTTCCCGGGAATCACAGGGCAATGGCTCCCCTCACTACATTTCCCAGAATCCGTCTAGACTCCTAGTCCCACCTGTCCTGCTTTCCCTAATGGCCAGCAGTGCTTTATTGACATATACACAGGACTTCCCCATGAGGCATTCAAGTTCCTTCTCTGCCTGATTGTGTCACTTGTCCGTTTTACTTGTTGTACGTGTGTGTGTGTGTGTGTGTGTGTGTGTGTTCATGCAGGCTGTGTGCACATCAGAGGACATCTTCTACAGTGTGGGTCCCAGGCATTAAACTGAAGTCAGGTTGAGCAGCGAGTGATTCTATTTGTTGACCCACCTTGCAAGCCCTTGGTTCTCATAACACCATCAGTCAGAATTTCCCTCCTGCTTGCGGAGCTTCAAACCCTAACCAAAATGTCACCTCTTCCCCAGCAGTCTGCTCGTCTGAAACTAGATCATCTCTGCTTGTCTGGGAAAGGCTCTGCTGTGCTATCGTCTGAACACACATCCTGCTTGGGCTCATGATGGCAAAGCTCATCCCCAGAGGGCAGTGCTATTTGGGAGGCTTTGTGAACTAGGAGGTAGGCATGGATGAAGCAACAGGGGCAGGTTCTTGGGGCTGTGTGATCCCTGGTCACTTTCTACCTTGCTTTCTTCTTCCTGATTGGCGATGAGGTGGAAGGCCCTTTCCCATGAGCTCTAACCTCCGTGAGGTCCTGCCCAATCATACAGACCTTTAGAAGGCAGATTGGACCCTTTTGGAATCGAGAGCCTAGAGGAATAACAAACCATTCCGCCTTCCTTTAAGCTTTTCTCTTGCTGTTGTTTTTTATTGTTTGCTGTCCTTTTCTCTGAGTAGGTATTCTGTCACAGCGACACAGGAAATGCCTATTACACGTTGATCTTCTCTGGGTTGTTATGGGAGGTTGCTGCTAACTGTTATCCACACAGGTGAACAGAGAGAAGCGGGGCTTTCCTTTTCATTGCTTTCCCATTTTCAATGTCCTTTCTTGGTGTGTCCAAGTAGCTCTACTTAGAGTACCTTGTTCTGCAGTCTTTGGTGACAAAGTCTGATGGCTCTCCAGGACTTTCTCACCAGAGACTGACCCCAGATATTTCTTTTTTCTGACGAGCATTGCATCTGTTCCTTAAGATGCATTTGGTTTCAATGACGACGTCCTAATTGATAGAATAGTCTTCAGCTAATAAACAATTGAGAAAAAATTTCCTAAGTCTGTTAGATGGGATGCAGGAGCTCAGAAGGTGTAGGCTCCTAATGCTTCTGTGTCCCAACAAGCAAGCCTCCTTTCCTGAGCCAGGGATCCTCAGAGCTGGAGAAGGCCACGGGCATTTCCAACCGTTGGCCTAGATTTTAAAGCGTAAACCACTGAGAAATGGAGAAATCAGGAGATGATGTTTGAAGGTCAGAGGTCCGGTCGGTATCAGGAAGGCAGTGGCTCTCCAGTGTTACTCCCAAGACTTGCCCGAGTTCGCCACAGACCTCACCCATTCACCTGTTGTATGAGCTTTGCCCTTGGCCATGTCTGTCTCCTGCTCTGCCTGTTGATTGGCGGTGAGGTAGATGACTCCCCTGTGCCACCGTTGCTCACACGTTCATTGCCATAACAGAACTAAGTCTGAGTGTTATACACCAAAGATAAGAGACTGCTTTTGGACTTCTGGGGTTCTTGGTAGGTCCATAAGTATAAGCAGGTGCTTCATTTTCCTTTAGACTTTTCCAGAATTGATCATTAGTGTATGTTTAGATAGTCTAAATTGGTGATCAGTAGAACGTACCGTGTACGCAGTGAGTTGTTCTCCTAATAAAAGTTGAAGTTACAGTTTTTGTCAGCAGAGGGTTGCATATCAGGCACTGAACTTTTTCCAGTGGAACCGAGAACCTGCTGTGTTTTATGCCCAGAGTGAGGGACACTGCTCTCCCATTTTCGATGAAACCTTGGAGTGACGCAGTGGCATGCTTTCAGTCAAACAGCCAGTATGAAGGAGACGCAGAATACAAACCAAGGTCTGCTGACTTCAAATTTTACTTCTGTCAGGCTGCTTCTGTTTGAATGATCATTTGTGATGTATGACTCAACCCAGACAGGAAGAAGCCATCTCTCTGTAGGACTCTGTAGATCAGTTTGGAAATGAATTCTGGGGTCATTAATATGATGTGTCTGTGATCTGAGTCTTCCTGTCGTCCTGTGATTGTGAGTCCCATCTCAGGAGCTCTAAAATGAGGCCGTTAATCAGCAAGGGAGATGAGAATCTTTATAATTTCTGTTATTTTAAATATAGCACAAAACAGAGTGGATGTCAAGAACTTTTACTGTAAAGAAAAGGACTCTCAACTATTAACATGCAGAGCCAATTTCTTGGACATGGACCCATGATTTACTTTCCTTCTAGAAAGATAAATAGTCAAAAGCAGATTTCTACCCTACTAGGTTTGCACTCATCCAGACACTGAGAAGGTTGACCTTGGGCTGAGCATCCATTAATTATGAAGTACTGGCCTTCTGAGAATCTGTCAAAATGTAAGTTTTAATGAAACCACATGGAGTCATTATTGAACTGTAGGCTTTTAATAGCTTATTTTTACATTTAAGGAAATACTTAACCATTGAGAGCATCGTCTGTGGGAGTTCTGTGTTTTCAGTTGTATGAAATTAGTGGATGTTGTGTTATTCAGTGTCATTCTAGACAGGCTTTTTTCTAGGACTCAGGGAATAAGAGATATTTGGGCTAACACAACGGTGTTTATGTAGACACTTAAAGAAAGAGCTATATGATCATTTTACCCAACCTCCTTCTTCCCAGAACAGGAAAGCAGTGACAAATCTACTTTATGCTCCTTCTATTACAGTTCCAGGGAGTTGCTTATTGACTCCATTCTATTTGCTGCTATGGGAGATACCTGTAGTTATATGATAATTGTGAATACTGACTCTACTTTTAATCAATGAAAAAATAGGAAGCTATATCTGCTATCATGTACAGGGGAATTTAAATGTAGATAAAACAACATGCCTTTATGATAAGAATGTTAAACAATGCAATCCATTGAATGCCTACTGAACTTTTATTTCAAATCAATATTAAGCAATTCCCAAGGGTTTGATTCATGATAGGATGTATAACTTGGCTTTTACATATTATAAAAATTACCTCATGAACAATTTTTGTTGGATAATCTGGGTTCAGCGGTATATGCAGGCCATCCCAACCCTTAGAAGTATGAAGCAGAGTGATCACCACAAATTCATGGTCCACCCTGACCAGCAGGGTGGGACACAGTCTCAAAAAAGTAATTGCATAGTGTATATTCTGCTATTTTAAATTATTTAGGAAGAATACTGTCCTAACTTTTTCCCTCAAAAGATCATAATAAAATTTCTTAGAAAATAGTAAACTAGAAACATGTGTTACCACATGAGCTCTGAACAGTCTACAGATACTTTCAGGCTGTGAGCTGTATCAGGTTTAGATTTGTATAGTTGATAGGAATGTAACTGTAGTGGGAATCTAGTAGAGTCATGATATCTGGGGTAAACATTAGAATGTAACAATTGCTTCTCACTGTATCTAGGGCATATTGGTGTTTGTTGAAGGTTCCTAGACCTTGAAGAAATCTTACTAGGCAATGCTGGCTATTTTCTATGCTTTATAGAGTGGTTTTTCTGAGGAAATTTTCCAACTGTCGCATGACTTTGGTCACAAGACTACTCAGGCACACTTGGAAGTCTTGAATTATTGGGTACTAAACGCAGTACACAATAAGGTCCAACATTGACAATTTCTTTCAGAAAACATATAGAATAGATCAAAGGGGCTTTGGTATGAGGAACTTGCTGCACCCCAAACACAACCTTTGTGTGCAATCAATACATGTGCTTCTGAATGGAGGTTAGAGGTTCAATCCATAGAAAATATTCCTCCCTGCTGCCAAAGAGTCTAAAATTACATTATGGGCCAACTCTCTTTCTTTGAACAGCATGCACAACACAAAACACTCTCCAATCATTATTAAAGTATAAACTGGTAATAGCACCTCCAATAACAAGAAGCGAAGGACCACAGGGTGCTCCCCATTAAGTGGCGGGTTTGTTAGCATAGAGATGGAATCAGTACTCTTTATTCTGAGAGTGGAGCAATGTGACATGAATTACCTTTTATAGATCCTTTCACTCTCTAGGTTATCCCTGGAGAGGTCTGGGGAATCCTCTCCTTCATCAGCTTGTGGTTTTAACAATCACGTGCACACTATGCCTCTTCATTCTAGAATCCCATTCAGCTACCTCTTTATCTTTTGTCTACTGGTTATCACTTGGCAGGTACAATGGAAGGACAACATGCTAATGGGGAGGAACAAGACACTCCAGGGAGGAGAAGCAGAGCAAGGTAAATTCCCGATTGCGTAAGATGCCAATTAGTCTACGCCGCAATGGCCAAAATATAATCTAGTCTCTTACAGCAACAAATATCTTTATTTGAAATTATGACTTCCTAACTTAAGGGATGGTTCATTTATGGTTACTTCTTTGAAGCCGTGGTTTCCGTAAAATTTGTAGTTAACGAGAAGCCCTAGCTTTGTGGTCTACATCTGACCCTTCATCTACTGCTGAGATGAAGGAGAAGAACCTGGAAATATATTTTTTGATTGGGAATCAGTATCTTAAAGGCTTTCATGAGAAAACATGTTTTATTGGTTCAAAATGATTCCAAAGGCATCAGTAAAGCAGTTGGTTTTGATTCCTCCTTTTCATTTAGTGACGTTTCAGTAACTGCACATTCAGCATTCGGATGACTGCCCTCTGTACTAAATTTTTGAAAGTTGTTGATGTTTTCATACCTCTGACTCATCGCTCAGTTCACAGACATCTGACTTTGGAGTTTGCCACTTTGGGGAGTGCTCCTTGGCTAGTTGCCATGACAGCAGATGCTCTGGGGTCTCCAGTGAAGTCTTGTAAGATGTTCTTCTCCCTTGGAATGCATTTGGGGAAGGATGGACTTTATCCTATCACGGACCTTAGCTCCATCTTGATACCATTTCTAAGGTTCCAACTATCCACAGGAGTCCTGCTATCACACCACCAGCTCCCAGAGGTCTTCCCTCCCCATAGAACATCTGGGTATCACCCGTCTTACTCGGCCCTCTGGCATCTCAATGCCTCATGGCCTGAGCAGAAGATCTCTTTTCATAACATCTTTTCAGTCAACAGGAATCTGCACGACAAGATTTCTGCTTGTTCAAAATCCAGCAGCTAGAACCTTGTTCAGAATCCTACCTGGAAAGCACTCTATGTCTCACAGGAGATATGACACATTGCTCATACTTGACTGACCTGTAGCCTCAGTGTTTTAGCTGACTAGATCTCTCTCTCTCTCTCTCTCTCTCTCTCTCTCTCTCCCTTCCTTCCTTTCCTTCCTTCCTTCCCCCTCTCTCTTTCTCCCTCTCTCCCTCCTTCCCTCCTTCCTTCCTTCCTTCCTTCCTTCCTTTCTCTGAGAGTTAATGCCTTAGTGTAAAGGCAACTGCCCAATAGCAGACAAAAGCTGAGGTGGGATGCTTGCAGACATGAGCACATTTCCTATGAGAAAGTCTTGGATCAAGACAATCAGCCACTCGGCTACAGCCCTCAAAAAAGACACATCTCATTAAAGGGACATTATCAAACTGGGATACGGCTCAGAGGTAGAGTGTTTACATACCATATCTGAGATACCAGTTTCATCCCTTTACTGGTTACAGATGAGGGAACAAGAGGAGAGGAGAGGAAAAAAGAAATTAAAAGAAGTGACTTAATTACTAACCCATAACTGCTAATCTGAGTGTTTCCACGTGGTCTTCTCTTACTGGAGAAAACGGTCCAGACCTCATACTTCTCCCATGTCTTACATCATCACTGACTGTGCCTGTTTCCCAGAATCTTCCTCGACTCCTAGTCCCACCTATCTTGCTTCCCTATTGGCCAACAGTGCTTTATTCATTAACCAAAGAGAGATATATATACAGAAGGACTTCCCCCATATCCCCATCTTCTATGTATATATGCTTTACATATATTTGAGACATTTTGTATATTGACACAATTTAGTTTTGTATTAAATCTAAGTATTTTATTTAGACTAAAAGGGGAATTGTAGAGAGAGATCTTAGATACTTGTGCCGCTGACCACACCCACTTTGGGTGTGGCTACAGGCACATATGGATGTCATAATAAAAGGCTATGCAGGAGAGACACACTTTCTCTTTCATGCTTCCGGTCCGGTCTTGGAAAGCGGCCGACTCACCCGGGTTGCCAGTTTCTCTTGTAAGTACCTTCCACAATAAATAGTTACCTATTTCATGTAGCTGAATGTGGGGGTACAAAAACACTGAACCAGATAAAGATTTCTAGAGAGGCAGAGGTCAAAAGTAAGTTCAGAACCAAACATGGGAACAGGAAGTGTCCTGGCCAGGCTCCTCTGTGCTGTAACATGCGATTTCACTGTAGCCTACATTCTAAACATGTGTTCCTTGCACTGCCTGCTCTATCACACTGTGCAACAGCAAGGGATACTGAGATGTTTTTGAATCAAATTGGAGGCTATTGTATGCTATTCACTGCAATATTCTACTGTGTATACACTAGAAACACATTTTTAACGCCATAAAGGACGTTTAATATTTACCTACCACTCCCAGGACATCCTGTTAAATTATTACATCTTTCAATCATATTGTGCTAGATAAACAATCATGTTTACTTCACCAGCATGCAAATTTGCTTGTCATCAATAGATGATAAAGTTATATGTATGCCAGATAATTATTTTGAAATAAACCTCTTCATGGTTCATTATGAATGTATGCCCTATTTGCACACCTGTTTAAAGTAACTATATACTCAGGCTCGCATAACAAACTCTCCAGTGAAAACAGGTCATGCATGAGAAAGGTCAAGAACCCAAGCTCCATATTCTGTAGAGCTCTCCACTTAGGTCGCTGCCGTACATTTCTGTAATAACCTTTGAAAACCTGGCACAGCTCTAATTAAGCATTTGACTACAGAATCCTATTGGAAAATCGTTTCTCCAGGGCTGTCACAGAAATAAGGCTCCCTTTCTCCAATCTTTCCTTATGACTTCACATTAAAATTAAATTTGGTTTTAAAATTATCCAGAAGGTGATTTCACAGGTAATTATTATCAAAGACATTAAAGAAATCAGCGTTTTATTTATAAGTTGGGAAATGAAGCTTAAAAAGCAGTTTTGTGTGTGTGTGTGTGCACACGTGTGCACACATGCGTGCACATGTGTATGATATTTATGGTTAAAAACCTAAAAGGAAGGGATCCTGAAAAGGAGTAAGAAGCAGTCGCTGGGAAAGCAGTGTTTCTCAATGAGTAGCTCCCAAGCTACAAAAGGTTTAAGTGGAGAGCTCAGACTTGCTGAAACCCCTGTTCAGCCATTGTAGAACTGTGTTTTTGGTTCCATGCCTTTCTGATCACTTCCTCATGTGAGAGTCTTATTTTAAAATCCCTGGCTGATGACCCCATCTTTCGGTGGCTACTGTTAGGAGCACGGAGCATTCTATGTGCACCTAAAGCCTTGATCTTTTCTTATGAGATTTATTTACGTAGCTTGCCATGGGCCCACGTGTCCCAATGCATCGCAATTGCTAAGACTTGGAAACTGGGGTGAGAGTTATAGCTCTTATTTCCATGGATGCCCCCAAACCCTTGGCATGCAGCCTGGGCATCTCAAGGTAGAGGAATTCATACCTGGCAAGCAATTTTCTCTGAACTTTTTTTTTTCAAACCTATCCCCCATTCCTTTATCTACCCAAAGAAAGCTCCTTTGGAGAAGTGTTTGGAAAACAAAAGTAGTTATGCCTTGGTTTGAGACTTCATAATTATATTCTGCGGGCGACTCGATGAGGGGGCACGGAAAGAGTGTACCTCTCAGACAGCACGAAGCGCTGCGAATCCTCCCAGGAGATTATGGCGGTAATTAATGGATTCTAGCAGCTGGGTTTAAAAACAAAGGAGACAACATGGACAATGAAGTTTCAGGGTCAGTATGATTGTAAGCACACATCTTGAATACCCAGCAATTCCTCCTCTGAGCTTCCCCGTTAATTAACGCCAGAATCCTGACTACCTGATGAACTGCAGGATACCACGTTTAATTTGCTGTAGGACAACAGATGTTAGTCATCCATTGTTCCTTACGGGTTCCTCCCTTAACAGTAATGTTGAAAATGTTGACTAGAGATTCCTCAGAGTAGTTGGCCCAATAAGCTCAGCATCCCCACAGTTGTAGAGACACTTTAACCACCAGGAACACCACAGTTTGACAGATACAGAAACCACATACAGAATATGTGCATTTTAGACTAAGAGCCTGTTCCAATAAACACCTCCCTTGCATCAGCCAGGGATCTGTTGCAAGACAGAAGACACACAGCAATAAACCTAGTAACCATCCTAAGCCCTGCTCACCCAAAACCCAGCAACAACAAAACAAAGCTGAGATCCCAGTTTTTCTTCACAAAGGGATAAAATATACCCATGGCCTGGGCTCAGCTCACCATAGATAGAACTTGGGCACAAACAACCCTTGGCAGTTCTGTTCCAATATTCATATGTTTAATCATTACACCCTTTTATGTGTAGAGCAACAGCAGCAAGGAGCCCAGAGCAACACGGTACTAGGAACACAAGTTTTCCCATTTTAACCTTTTTCCTTTTTATGTGTGCAATCCACTCAGAACTCACCATAAGTTCTGTGACAGAGCTGGGTTTTGTGGTTTGCACACAGGTTTAGTAAGCTCCCTGAAGGACTTTTAAACACTACCGGCACCAGAGAAATCCAGGTGATACACACAGGGCATCACTATTCTAACTGGGAGCGAGCGCTGTTGGCTCAGAAAAAATAAAATTGCCCCTGTGGCTGCTTTCAAGACCCGACCTGCTTCTTAATTTGGGAAAAGATGTTGCTAAGCATACTGTAAACCTGTCAGCATCCACAGGAGGGTGGAGGCAAATCCTGTTTTCACCAGTTACTGAGATGGTCACAGTCCTGCCTGGTACACTGCAGATTTCTAAGACCACTGAAGTCAGGGAACCCAGACACCCCACCCTCATATCTGAGACATGGAAGTTGGGCGAGATAGAAAATGTTATTTTACAAGTCACCAAATGTTGGCACAATCTCTAATGTCACTGTAAGTTTGGTGATTTGACAAATATGGTTGGACATGAGCGTTGAATGATAAAGTCCAATGAGAAATGATGTACAATGAGCCCTGCAGTCATCCCATACTCTGTCAAGATCTCTAAGCTGTGGCATACCAGGGAGCACTCAGATGGTTGCTAGTCCGTTCCCAGAGAAGAAAGGGCATTTAGTTCAGAGGATGGTGCAGCCAGATGGGTAGAGGAACTAAACAGAGCACCAGAGATATAAGAGCCCCATAAAAACTTCCTGCATATGTAGAAAATGCCCTGGGGGACTACTACAGGCTGGGATGAGAACCTTGAAGATAGTTAATGATGACATTGCCCAGAACCCAACAGGTCAAATGTCAAGACCACTTCTGCCACCCAGAATGGAAAATTCTTATGATTCATGGGGGTTAGGTGAAGTGTTCAGCTGAGAAGGCTACAGTAGGAGGCGGTAAGTTCCACCACTGGTTTCCTTCAGTCCCGCCATCTGATTCCTCAAAGCTAGGCCTGACAGAACCACAGAGTATCCAAGGGTATTGTCTGTGACTCAATGAGGGTATTGAAAATATACATAGATTCCTATCTATGGGAATTCACAACATCCAGTACACAGTCTCATAGTATTCCCAGTGTCTAGAATCCAGCCTGGAGTTACTAAGAATGCAGAGGCAGGAAACACGGCTTACAGTGAAAGGAGCAAGCAATCGACTCTTACCTGGAACTGAGAATGGTCAAAATTGCCAAGAGGGATAAGAAAGAAGATACTGAAGTATTTCTGTGTGGTTAGACATCTCAGAAGAGCCATGAACATTTAAAAAATGCACAGAGATGAGAGCTCTAATATGCAAGGTTAAAATATTTTGGATAGTACAAAAATATATATTCTCTAGAAGAATATGTAAAGTAACTCTGATAGCATAGCCATCAATATGTGACGAAAGCATGGAGGAGGAGGAGAATGCCTTAAGAGTGAAAAGCACTACTGAGACTTCAGCCAACATGTGTGGTGTCATCCATCACTTTGCACGTGTGTATTTGTGTGTGTGAGTGTGTGTGTGTGTGTGTATGTGTGTCCTCTTCCATTATCTCCTTTTACGAAATGTGTGTTCAGACCTTTGGATCACAACAATATTTGATTGGAAAGAACTTTATTTTATTATAGTGTTTAGAAGACATTTCACTGAGAATGGAATTTTAAATTATGCGTTCTTTAATTTCAGCCCTTTGAAGCCATTACTATGCCTTCTCATTCCCTTGTGTTCAGACAGGGATTCTTCTGGCCTCATTACTTCTGCCCCCCAGGACATGCATTTTTCATCCCCTCAGCCTTCGACTTCTACGGTTTTTCTCCTTACCACCAGCATGAGCAGTTGAGTGACCATGTGCTAGTAACATCCAGATTTCTTTCAACTTCTACTGTTCTGAGGCTGTTGAGTTCCTTGTGTAGGAGAGCTTGTGCATTTCGTTAGGTCGGGAAGTGTTCTGGTTATTTTAGTCCTGTTTTTTTATCTCCCTCCAATTACACACATATCATTGGGCAGCTGAATGCTGTGACGATCCTCCATACATCCCTTGAGTCCTGATGCAAACATATTTCTCACGAAAGACAGACAGACCATAGCTGTGCAGAGATTCCTTAGGCAGAAGCATGCCAGTCATAGTCGGAGAACTTCAGGCAGAAAAAAAGGATCAAGAGAGAGTGAGAATTAAGGTTAGAAGTGACCGTGCTCCTTCTGAGTAATACAGGAAGGCTTTGGAACAGGGTAGGGAGGTAGGGAAGTGAGCTGTGACACATGTTACCACAGGCTGAAGGGAGCGCCAAGGCACTCTCTTCCAGGCACAGCCACAGGGTGACCTTCATGATTTTGCCACCGTGGTGACTTTGTATGTGTATTGACTCCGATGCCTGTCTCTTCCCCTAGGAGAAGTCCTGCAAGCTGGCAACCATAAGAGAAAACTTTAAATCCTTGAGTCATCTGCACTGAGTGAAGAGAAGTCCTTGCAATCTATTAGATGCTCAATAGACACTTGTTTAGTAATCAGGCAAAGTGAAGGATGGATCATCCACATCTAAAGCTGTAGTTTATACTTCTTTAAGATTCCCCAACTGTCCTATGTCCTTGTGGGCCTGCATTCAATAAATCTCACTGACACTACTTGCTGCTCCTTCCCAAAGTTTTTTACATCCTATGGTATGTATTTCTCTGAAAAGAACTTTTAGAATAGAAAAAAATACCTTCTAGAACATCAAGGTTAGCTTTGTGAAGTCTAAACAGTGGGCACAGACTCTCAAGGTTTACATATTGCCGAAATCTAAACTCCCAAAGGGATGAATTTCCCTGTCCTTTGGGAAATAAAACTGATAATAGAAGTCTATTTATAGGCAGCGCTATAACATGCCTCTAGGAAAGCAATAATATTGGGGCCAGCGATCTTGTTTCCTTAAAAATCTAATTAAAAGAAAAAAAGGAAATCTCAGTTATATTTGCTGTCCATGTACGGAAAGAACCGAGTCTCTAGAATTCACCAAATCTGTCTCCAGTCCAGTTTGCAGACCTCATGGGACCACAGTAGGCAAACACGGCATGGTGGGTGGGTGAGAACACACAAGAGTGAGGCATTGCGATTGCTTGCGATGCCTGGTATGTTTTAAATACCGCGTGGTTTACTCTAGTGGTTGCTCACTGGGCTGAAGCTTTGATTTATTTTTACATGCCGACATTAAGAGGAGAATTTAGAATAGAGCAATAATGGAGTGCCATCCTTTTGATTGTTTTGCCTCTGTAGACACCTTTACCTGAAAATTTGAAGAATTTCCCTTTTCTGTCCAGGAAAAATCCCATGACTAAGTGAAAGCAAACCCTGACTTTTCTCTGGAACAATTTGTATGTAAATTGCGCATTTATAGAAATTTTAAATAGCACAGAGGCTCCAAGTTGCTGCCGTTTTCCAAATGACACCTGCAACACATGTGTTTTCTGCCAGCGTTCACGGAGGCTCAGGAGGGGGCCTTCTCTGCTTCATCCAGGACAGAAACAAAAAATGCAGGTGAGATGGTGATTTAAAACTAAACCAAAGTTTTCTTTTTTTTCCTTCCTTAAGTCTATTTCTCAGGTGAAGACCTATGAATGCTTAAAATAATTTTGCAAAGTTCTAGAAAAAAAATAACAGATGGAGTGTTGCTACTTTATAACCAAGTGGTTTTTTTGCCTCCACATGATAGTCAAATTATAGACAATTACTATCTACTTTAATTCATCTACTGGTATGGTCAATGTTGATTGTCATTTGGAGTTAGCTTGGACGCAGACCTGTGACATTGTCTAGGTTAGGGCCATTGGGAAAGGAAGACTCCAATTAAGAGTGGGTGCCTCCATCTTAGGGGCTGGGGGCCTGAACTGATTCAAAGGACAAGGACAAGCTGAGCATCAACACAGGTTTCTGCGTCCCTAAGTGTGGGTGCTGTGACCAGCTGCCTCAAACTCCTGCTGCCGTGCCTACAGGACCAGGATGGAAGGCAAACTCAATGCTTCTGACCTTAAGTCCCATTCTTAGTGTTTTTGCTTTGTTTTGATGTCAGTAGCAAGAGGAATAACGGATGCGTGTGTTATGTCACCTCTCAATATGGCCTCGGTCATCTTCTTAGTTGGCATTACGATTGCTGGACAAAACACCGTCGCCAAAAGAAACTTGGGGAGGAAAGTTCCACATCACAGCTCGTCATTAAAATCAGTCAGGGTGGAGACTCAAGCAGTCAAGAACCTGGAGGCAGGAGCTGATACAGGGCCCATGGAGGGTGCTGCTTACTGGCTTGTCCCATGGCTTGTTCTGCCTGCTTTCTTATAGAACCCAGGACCACCTTACCTGGGTGGCCCCACCCACAACGGACTTTTCTTCCTTCTCAACTACTAATTAAGGAAATACCGTACATACCTTCCTACAGTCAAATGCTATGGAGGAATTTTCTCCATAGATTATTGAAGTCCTCCATCTCTCAAATGACATTAGTTTGTGTCAAGTTGTCTTAAAACTAATCACCATAGTGATGTCATGCTGAGAGAATTTACAGAATATCCTCCTTGGGGAGCATCATAGAGTCATGTGCCTCAAGTCTATGTGCTCATGGGCTTGTTGGGCATCCTGTTGTCATCACCTCGAAATTATTCCTCCTTATTTTTTCTTTGAAAATCACAAAAAACAGAGTGTGTCTATTTGTCAATTAATGATATATTTTAGAGTTATAGGATAGCATGAAATAGCAAGTTTCTTGGGGTTTTCAAATTCCTAGTATGTTGTCCTTTGAGACTTGGGGACAAAAATAAATCAGTATACTCGGAATTTTCAAAATTGTGATTATTTTAAACATAACTTCTACCAGTCACAACACTGTATATTGAGTAGCAGCGATTCTTGTTTAGAGACCGAAACACAGGATTCAGTGCCACTCACAAAGAAACACACGTTTTTTACAGGAAGCGAATGGCTAGGGTGTGGCTGGGGCTATTTTAATAGTGACTAGCTAATCCATGGTTAGCATCCTTCTCAGAAGAGGGCAGGTGGCCTGGAGGGAGGGAGGAGTGAAAATGCAGACGCTAAAAATGAGGGCAAAGGAACTGAGACAATGAAGGAGACAGTAGCAGGCATAGCACTAAGGGAAACCACAAATGCCCTCTGTCCCTCAATTTATGATGCCCCACCCTCTATGCGGGGGTTTGTAATCAATAACTCGTGAAGGGGATGGAGGTCAGGGTCTCTTCCTTTTCTTAGCTTTGCATCAAGGTGAGGAGAAAGGCAAGAGGATCAAAGTGTAGCTTGGAAACTGTGCCAATAGAAAATGGCCAGAATAACCAAGAATTGACGTTTTGTTCTATTCTGTCTTCATTAAAAAAAAAACCTTCTTTCTCTTGCATATTTGTAGATATGCATATGTACATGAATACATGCATGTGTACACATGTTGTGTGTATGTATACACACATACACACAGACATGCACACACATATACATATGTATATGTATATGTATATATATTTTGAAGAGAGGGGCTCCTTCTTCCCTCTTCTGAATTCTGGGATTACAGGCATAAATCACCATGCCTATTTTTTTTCTGGTATAAATCTGTTTGAATTGTAATGCACAAGACCTCTGTGTCTCCCACCAATGTCAAAAACACAAAAAATCAGACCTAAATAACTTTGATAGATGTTAGCCGTTTTTGTTTTCTTCATTTTAGTTCATCTGCAATTCTATTAGCATGTCCTGTCACGTGCCCTCTTCCATGTACCAATCAAGGCACTGCCACGGACCCACAGTGTCTCACACCAAGCATCCCAGACAAAATGCAGGAGAACATCGCCGAGAAACCAGAAGCATTTCCAGTCACTGAACTGCTTGCCATCCGAAGTGGTGGCTACCGAACCTGCATTCCATGGCCAGGGAAGCTGTCCCACGGTTCTCCTAGAGCTTGACATTCTTCCCTTTTGATTTCCAAGTGCTTTGTGGATTTGAATGAGCACATAGGCACACACAGTTTCCGGCGTAGGAAGTCTAACCCTAGCATCCTCCACAGCATTACTTACGTGTGCAAAGAGCCAGGGGCAGAACATAGAGATCCTAAGTCCATCCAAGAATAAAGAAAGCATGGAGGCTGTTGAAGTTAAATGCTACTAATTTTACGAACTCGTAGAAGTATAATGCAAAGCTTCCTAGCCTATATGTTAATTCCAGTCACACCCCAATGTAAATTCCTTCACAAGACACCCACACTGCTCAAAGGACTTCTCATGAGGAAGGAAGGATTTTCTGTCTACAGAATCCAATACATTCAGAGAAGAGGCTTGAGGTGCAGGCTCTGCCATGCCCTGTTCTGTAGGGCAAGAGTCTTCAAGTCAGTCCAGAGAACAAACATTTCCCAATTACACGGAACACTGTTTTCCCTTCTTTATACTTTCATAAAATATACCCTGTGAGCTTGTGATATAAAGGGCTTACACACACTTTTTGCCAAGTTTCAGGTTTCATACTCTTGTGTGTTAATATATTTCTAGCTAACCTTCAATTGAAAACAAAATCCCAGTTCACTAGAACCAGGGGAACTTATAATTGGACTAATGACTTTTTTCAATAAGGAGGAAGCTAATTAAGCAATAATCAGTTTTAGGAGCCTCCGTTGCATGACAGAATTTTTTCCTCCCTGACAGCTAGAAGCCTACAAGTTCTGAATTAATTTGTCTGGTTATGAGAATGGCAAACTTATTAGTGTATCTCACTCTAGCTAGCTCCTAAATTGTTTCACACTTGTGAAAGAACAGTAATGATTAAAAGTTCTATTTTCAAATGTTCAACAGCTCTAAGTTTGGCATACAACATAGTTCAGAGGCAACGATCCTTGCTTTTGGAGGTTATGAAAATTAAAAAAAATCGATACAATGAACTCATCAAAACAAACAAGAAGAACCTCCGTATCTGGGCCCAAACTATGCTTCACCAAGGACCAGAGCTGTCTAAAAGCCAGCCTTGTTTGACCTGTAATGGTTCCGATCTGATCCACGACCAGAGAGAGAGAGAGAGAGAGAGAGAGAGAGAGAGAGAGCCCTGCCTCAGGCTTCCCCTCTTTCTGCTTTTCCTGGTTCCATCTGTATGTGAAACTGCACCCAAAAGGGCGGGGTAGGGGGTGGCCACTAACACAAATACACTGGCAAGGAAGACACGACTTACAATTCCCCTTTCAGCCTAAAGAAGAAGGTTTTAAGCCCGATGGAGAAACTATACACAATGATGACAAACGTCAAGCATATTCCGGGAAAAGGAAAGCTAAACGTACACGAATCAAAACCTACAGCCAGCAAAAGCAACACTGAGCAAAGGACACGTGCTAAGAAAAGCCAGCCTTGTTTGGGCTTCACGTGGTTAAGGGAGGCGTCCTGAGATTGACAGGAGCGCCTGAATTTGACGACTTGCCGTGTAAATGGGGACGGCACCAAGTGTCAAAAACGCACTGCAAAGAGGAGCCACGCTGGCTGCTGTGGGATGGACAGGAAGGGTTTCCTAGGATGCCATTCGTATCCATCCCTTCAGAGGCCCCTTGCTACCCACATGCCTCTGAACTCTGAGAAATGCCATGGGAGCTGGCCTGCTTGGTCCCCAAGGACTTGCT